GGGTCACGAAGAGTCGGACACGACTTAACGACTAAACAACAACAAAGCAGGGGTTACAAGCTCCTCTGGGTCTAAGCACTACCAGGTAGTGATTTGTCTGTGACACGGAGAAAGTATTTGCCACTCTAGACCAGATCACCATCTTCAGGCCACGAACAAAAAAGGCCAGTGTCTCTCTCCCACTATGTGAATTAGGCAGATGTTATTTGGGACAGCATCCTAAGCTGCTCCTGACAAGATGGCTTCCACGCAAGGGTTGATGCTCGGTAGAGCTTCTCATCTTGGGGACTCAGCACCACACCCAGAGTCGCCCCAATGAGCTCAGGGAGAGAGACCAGGACACCAGAGTGGAAGTCTATTGGCAGAGTCAGAGATCCGTAATATTCTTCCATTTTTCCATGCTCAACTTCTCAACCTCGGAATTCACTGGGCGAGCCTGGGTTCAAGTCTTCCTTACGGGAGGTATTCCTGCCTCATTCTGCGCAATCAAGGATCACGTTGCCTAAGCTAAAAAGCTGCGGAGCTGTAGTTGCTCCTAATCATTCTGATTGCCGTATTTTGTAGTTTTTCCAGTCTCAATATTTTGTGTAATAAAAAGTTTATATACGCTGAATGTAATTTTCAGTTTTGTTCCTAATATTCTTCCAAGCAGAATAGATTTTTTTTCACAACACTGGCTGTGTTTCGGCTTCACACAATATGGGCAAGTGTAAAAAGCATGGACCCAAAAACCCAGTGAACAAAATATAATTAGAGTCAATTCTCGTTATTTGCAGTAGTAAACATTCTATAAAGTTGCCACAAACACTGAATTAGCAAATACTGGAACCTCAGCTAGGAACTTTTTTGCCACTCTGCATGTCCAGGAATGACTGAAAGCACCTCAAGTATTGATTTTGCCATTACCGTACAAGTAAATTTTAATGAGTAGGCAAATTCACAAATATGGAATCTGAAAATAACTCCTCCCCTCCCAGCCCAGCCTGAAGAAGGGGGGGGCAATGGAGTAACCAGCTGAGAAGCCCCAGCGTCCCCTCCTCCCTCCAGGACATGCCCCCCCTTCTCTCCACTTTCTGCCTCCCTACAGAGGGGCTCCCGGCTCTGCTGCCCCCTGGAAGGGCCCCTTTTGCCTATTAATCAAACCACCTGGGTACAGGGACTTGCCCGGCTCCCCAAACTGGCCAGCCTATCGGATTCCCCAGGATTCCTCCCTTTGTAGCCCTCCACGTCTGTAAAAATCTTTAAGAGACTGCAGAGTCCTTGGTGCTCTCTGAGCTTGGTTGTTTTCTTGCAGACGTTTCGTTACCTGGCTAGGTGACATCTTCAGTGCTAGAATGGGTCGGGGTTTGCTCCCTATTTATGTACGGCAGCTTGCCCTGTCAGTGTTGGTGGGGGCGTGGTTTTTGTTTTGTTTTTTGTTTTCCTTTGGTAGTTCCTGGGGAGGAGCCATCCCAGCAATATACGTCCTCCTAAGCTCCTGCTCTTTTAAAAACTTCATTATTTTTAAATAGTTGATTATAGCCAGTCTTTTCTTCTTTTTTGATAGTTTTAGTTATAATAAGCCTTTTAGAACATTGTAGTTTTTAAAAATTATTTTTATATTACACTGGACCCATCAATTCCTGGCAAATAGAAGGGGTAGAAATGGAAGCAGTAACAGACTTCA